CAACAACAACAATAATAATAAATAATAATAAATAATAATAATAATATTAATAATAATAATAATGATAAATAATAATAATAATAATATATTTCTCTGAAATTTAATCAACGATTTGTGCGCGAACTTCAAATAGAAATGTGTCTATCCAGCTATGAAGACGACGACGACGATGAGAACTGCGGTGATAATGATCCACTATTCTGTTATCATCATCATCATCTTCTTCTTCTTCAATAGTAGCAGCAGCAGTGGCAGCGCCTACAACAGCCACAACAACAACAGCAGCAGCCACAACGACGCATCAACATCTTGCCATCTTAATCAAATAAAATGACACTCTTGCAAAATCAACAGTATAATATAGCAATATAAAAATACAACCGCCACAACAACAACAACAATAATAACAACGAAAATAAGAAAAATATTAACAACAACTATAATAATAATTATAGTTATAATAATAATAATAATTATTATTATTATTATTAAACATAGAAAAATTATAGTAAAAATAGCAAATTACAATAAGACATTATTGATTATTGATATTTTTTAAAAATTTATAAAAAAAAACAAACAACATAGAAATAAAACCAAAGACAAATTAGATGAGACTGACAAAGACAGATGAACGCGGCGGCGAACAAAAGAACAAACAAACAATTGACGAATGGCCGAAGATTTTTACTTCTTTGTTACATATTATCGTCCCCCTGTCAGTAGCCATCGAGTGGGATTGAATTGAAACTGATTTAAATTTCTGAATTAATTATCGCTCAAATTCTTTAGGGTGCATACGCGCGCGTTTTTTAGTGGTATATACCGGCATTAATACCACCAACAACCCCGAGACATATGCGTCCGCTTTCACACACGCACACAGGTACACACTTATGCACACACACACGTATGAATTAAATCTTTTCATACACACACACGTACACACACACACACACTCATAAATTAGATCCTTTCATACAGACACACACACAAACACACACACAAAACACACATGCAAAAATAGTCACATACATACATACATACGCATAAATACGCATAGAAATACGCATACTACAGGCGTATATATAATACAAATCAGAAGACCTCTAATTAAGATTTATCAGAGGATATCCGAACTTATTCGTAACATCAGCTACGATGCTCTGATCACGCACACACACGCACACATACACGCACGCACACATACATATTCACACACACACACACACATATATAAATACATACTAACACCCACTTCTGCACACAATTCCATTGAAGAATATATATTGTAACGAACAAAATAATAAAATAGTTGCACATTCCTACAACCACATATTCCGCAACTCACATACAACGTACATACATAATTACGTACATACATACATACATACATACATCCATACATACATACATACATACATACATACATACATACATACATACATACATACATACATACATACATACATACATACATACAACAAAATACAAACGCCTGGGCACACATATATACAAACACATCTTCCAAACACACATAAACATCTAATAGTTTAATGCACGTGAAATCCTAATACATTGAAAAATACACGCCATCAACATGCATCAAATTTAGCAAGAGATTCTATACAGAAATACCACAACTGTACCTATAGAGATACATACATACATATATACATACAAACACACAAAAATAAACATCATACAAACACATCCACTCACACACACACACACACACACACACACACACACATTCATTCCTTCCTTTGACAATTATTATTCATTAAGAAGATGTTAATAACACGC